GGGGGGGGGGGGGGGGTTTTTTTTATTTTTTTTCCCCCGGGGGGGGGGGGGGGGGGGAGGGGGTACGCCATCCCTTGGGGGAATAAGCCCACTGGCCCAGGGGTCCTCGGGGAGAACGGAGGGGTGGTTCCCCCGGGATGGATCACGGATGGGCCATTGTTTCTTTTTTATCATCCAAAAGGGGGCTCAAAAAAGTCTTCCCCTACACATCGATATCCCATCCCGCCGATTTAGCCAGGTTCCTATGCCTCAGTATAGCTACCATCTCCTCCTGGGTACTATGCCTGTACCTTCTTTCTACTTGTTTGGGCGCGGGGGGGGGGTAAGTAAAACGGAAGAGAGTTGGATAGGGAGTACGACTTATTGAAATAACCGCAAGGCTGTAATTAGACATCTACCGGTACCGCTCTTTCTAGAATCATCCGCGCCCCCGCAAACTGCCACCGCTCTCAGGGGAGCCCGCCGTTCCTACATGATGGCAATACTGTGCTCTTCGACCCGGCAAGACCGACGTGTTCTTACCGGCTGGTCGATTCGCGCGGTTGACGTTCAAATATCTAAACACACAAAGCACAGAAACTGCAGTTAAATGTTTTCCATTGATGGGCGTGCAAAGGGCCCTCCCAGTGGAAACCAAGGAGCACCCCCCGAGGCTACGCGTCAATCTTGGTCGCGAGGGGTCTATTGTACAGGATTTAGCGTGATTTATACTGAAACCTAAATATGCCTTAGTTTGTTGTATGGACTTCGTAGGGCATACCATGCATACAACCTTGCGGAAGTATGATTTTTTGTGTGCGATTTAGTATGCACATGCTTAACACATACTTCGTATTCACCAAGGCATTGTATGGGTTTTACAAAGCACTAGAGCCTGTAGGATACAGTATGGACTTAACCAACACCCACGTGCAATGTGGGTTTTAGAATGCGACACAAAAGCCCGTAGGACACAGAATTGGACATTATTTAACCAACACACCCACGTATTGTATGGGCTGTAGAACGCGATAATAAATCTAATAGGATATCGTACCGCCTTACTTGGACCCGCACACCGCCCTATCATATGGGTCGTAACGTGCCATACTAAAGGCTATACAACAAAGAGTATTACATACGTTTCAGGACGCGACACGGAAAGCCTGTACAATGAAGAGTATAGGTTTGACAACAGCCATACTGAATCCTGGAGTGCAGCAGGACCCGTGCTAGGTGGTGGTTATGAGCGTCAAATTTAGGCCCGAAGGAGGGGAGGGGAGGTAGGGGTGCCCCATGGTTTCCCCTTGGAGGGAGGGCTCCTTGGGTGTGCTGCCCACTTACCAACGGCGACCTCGATGTGCTTGCGCGACACGACTTGGCTTTGAATTCCCGTCGCTACGCTCCTACCGATGAACTTCGTCCCCGGCGGGAGTAGCACTTCCCTGAGAGGCCAATCCATCCAATCCCAAGTTACACATACGACGCGCAGGACACGCGCAAGAAAGGGTTAGGGTTATGCCGAGAGAGGGCGACCGGAACGAGAAAGAGACAGCAAGGTCAACAACAGCTATACTTGGTCCGCGTGGGGTGGGCAATCAGTGTCGCCCTTCAGCATTTTTCAGAAATCAGCGAGCCCGGATGTATGTAGGTGTTTTGAGGTGGATGCTTGCCTACGTCTCCTACCGCACCGTTGTTGCCGCGCAGACGAAGACAGCGCCACACAGCGTGCAGGATGCAGGAGCTACGGCTACGGCACTCATGTTGCCGCGACAGCATCACAGCAGCAGTCTATTGGTCAACAGAAATAAGCGTACCTCCAGCAACCAACGGCAATACACTTAGAAATCTATTTTGAGTAGGAACCACGACCAGTTTGGCGATCGTTTCCTTTTGTGAATCATGTACAATTCTAGAAACGCAGCGGGCGTGCAAGTCCATTGTGCCCAGTCCGAGTTTCAGCACAAGCGTTGGGAGAAAGAGATACGGCCTTGGGTCTTCGTAACAGAGAGCTCGAAATGTTGCCATGGGTCTTGCCAACAGAGTGTGTCGTACAATTTCAAAACCGTCCAGCTACGGGCACCCGTATGTACTACTGTAAGTATCATACATCAAGGCTGTGGCCTCGGTGTGTCATAGCCACGGACAGCACCGCTTCGATTATCTCAATCACTCACTTGTAGCCAGAGGAGATTGGCTTCAGCACGTACAGCGGTGTGGTCATCGCTCCGTTTTGCTCCAGGGGAAGTGGGTGCCTGGTTTTTCGTTCCTGCTGGAGTGCTGCTGTAGATTGTTGCGACTCACAAAGAGGCAAAAAACAGGCTCGGCTTTGCTGTAAGTAGAACACGAGACCTTTCTGAAAGCCTGGGCAAATGGTATCTTCTCCTGGATACGACGTAAAACCCACTCACATCAAAAGGAGTGGGAGACGAGGGGTGAGACAGAGAAGCGCAGATCAGCGAGACGTTGATCATTGCCGAGTTTGGGCAACAACAGCCCCAGGGCTCGGGACAAAAAGCAGAAGGGGGGGGTAGGGGGCCCCGCCGCATTCAAACATGCTACCACAGATTCGGCTTCGGCCGCCGGTCGTGCATACGCCAAAGCTGGCGAGATAAAAAGGTTCTCCAGCTGGAAAACGCCTCCCAGATTCGGCACGGGTGTGCTCGGGTGTGCTGCATAGCTGTTTTATCAACCCGCTGTGTTGTGTGTTTTGGGTTGGGATGTGTGATGTCGCTAAGTCGCCGCTGTAGCTGCGTCTCTGCTCTTGCTCGCCTTCTTCACCGCAAGAGGGCTATCCTGCTGTTGTACACAACCTTGGGGAACGATTGGCCACGTCCAACGACAAAGTGGTGGGCGTATTGAGTGCCCCACACAAAAATAACCACAAAGCGAGACGCACCGATATCGATACAAGCAGTGATTGAGAGTGCTCGCCCGAAGGTTGGCCGTGCATTGCCAAAAAAAATGCGGTTTATTCTCGACCGAGCATACTACATCATGTAGTCTCCGTCTGGACAAAATAGTACTTTGAGGGGTCGCAAGAGTGGCTCATTGATAACACGCTGTTGCTCTTCGTGGAGCACAGGCGTAGTCTACTTCTCCCGTCCCGTGCGCCCCCGCAAAACACAAATGTAACTGACCAGACAGACGCCAAATGAAGACCGCAACACGTCAGTTCTACAACCGAGACCCTATGTACAACACCCCTAACCAAGGCATAAAAGCAGTGAATTCTCCCGACGCAAAACCTCGGTGAAACCCAAAACCTTGGACGAGCCATCTCCTCCAGCGAAAAACAAGCTCGAAATTGCCGCCACCACTGCTGGGATAGCCACCTCCTGCAGCAGTGATCCTTGTGGGCACCAAGCAGCAATGCTTCGTTCGTATATACAAGGGACAAGAAAAACAGCTACTGCTGTACCCGCTGCTCTAAAATGGCACCCCGGTAGCGGCCGTCTAAGGTCTACGCTGGAACGGGGGTCATCTCCCGTGAGGATGCCCCTGCCCCAGGTCTATGGGGTCATACATCCAGTTGTCTTCACTGATATCATCCATCAGCCTTCGCAGGCTCGATTTGATGTCCGAGACCAGCACCTGGGTGTGTAACCCCGCCGCAGCACGCACGGCACCACAGAGAGCACCAACGACCCACACCACACGTTGGACAGAGACAAAAAGGGCAGAGAATGGCGAAGAGAGGAGGGGAAAGCGCGAGGTCAGCTGCGTGTCACGAAGCAACCAGCAGGGAAGTGTACACCGTATAACCAAACACGTTCAACTGTCCGTACCACGTGGTCCCATAGGCGCAGATCACACAAACACACGCACCATCTCCACTACTGAAACATCATGTCATGGGATACCTGCCTTTGCCTTCGATAAAAAACCATGGATTCACGTGATCGGTCTCAAGTAAGCATGAAAGCCCAATCCAACGTTGTGGAAGTTGCCAAACACCGACACAAGTCAGGTAACAAGGCTCCGCTCTTGTTGAAAGCAGCCAACCGGGTGGGGCCTAGCAGCCCGATAGAAAGGAACGGTACTCTGCACGCAGCAGTCCACGGGGCACTACTGCGGGGAAGGCAAGGCAAGCTACAAACAAACGGAGGAAACAGATCATATTGCTTGTTTCAAGATACTCGCGTATGTCTGGGTCCGTGCACTGTTCTCGCACACATACGCCGCGATATCCTTCGAGAACGTACCGGCGACCGCCAAAAAATGTTCGTATGAAGAAGAGCACCCCGGAGTTGTTCACAAAAAAGTTGCATGTGGCGGTCGTTGCACACAGCAAACAACATCCCCGGGGTGAAAGAAGCACACGAAATTTGTCGCGGACCCATCGGGCTGGAACCCACGAACGATGTCGGGTGTAGGCAACATTGACGAGAAAGCATTCAAGAAGAAGAAAAAATGGAAACTGGGGAAGCTTGCGCCGTTACACGGACGTTGCAGCCTGTACCAAATACGAAAAAAATCGTACCAAATGAAGAACGGGTACCGTTGTTACTCCTGGTAAAGACCGCGGCATGCCACGAAACCAGCAAAGGATCTCGGCAAGCGGGCTATACGCCGTGGTTCAGCATTCTACTCGACATTTTCTGCTCCGTCGCAATCGGTTGCTGTAGCAACAGAGAAGCAAGCCCTCGTCGTTTAGCTCTCAGGGTGGCCGACTCATGCGCCATCGGAGAACATACAAAAGTGACTAGATCATCCGCAACTTCGCCACAGATGCCACTATCAACCATAGAGCTCCCTATCGTTCGCGAAAATATTGGATCGCCATCACATCGCTCGTCACGGGGGCTGTCAAAGTCACCTGAAAATCGACTCAATTCAACTCGAACTTGAAGTTTGCAGCAGCACAAACACAAAGCGCGGAACAGTCAAGCTCGTCTACCTCCTACGATAACTCAGTCGCAGTCGTGACAAAGTTCAAGCTTCATCGACGTTGTCGGAGATCAACACGGTCGGTCATAAAAAAACTCAACAACGCCGTTTCGAACACAATGTAGTCATTCCCGTTCGAAGATTGTTCATCTCCACTGCAGCGAGAGTTACTGCATGATACTCTTCAACCCTTGCAGACAAGACAGGGTGATGAAACCGCACTACGATTTTTTGGCATGACAGAAAAGGGCGCCTGAGTGTGCATGAGGTGCAACCATGGTTGTCGGCCGCCGGTGGATGGGCTTCTAATCTTCTACATAGACAGAAAAGAAAATATGGACAGTATAAACAACAACAACAACAACAACAACACAACAACAAATAGCAACGACAACAGCAACAAGGTTGCCGGCATGATTGCATGGATATTTCGTTCAACGCCCCGGGGTGAACTTAAAAGTAGAGGGGTAGTGTGGATGACAGGTGTAGAAGTGCTGTAACCATTGTTGTTGCACATACAAGAGTAGGACCAAGATACGATCCGAACGGAGGATCTTAGTGATGGTTGATCAGCAAGAGACCCGACTGTGGATGCGTCCCTCTTGGCGGCGTTTGGGAATCCGAGACCCTCGGGCTTGGTCTCCCTCGCCCCTTCGGCGGCACACTCTCTCTTGTCTCTCTCTTCTGAGACCCTCTCCTCTCTAAATCTCAACGAAGAGAACTGCCAGCCCTTAGTAGTGGGAAAAGACTACTGCGACCTGGGCCTCCCCCCAACGAGGGAAGCCTGTGTCCTCAGTAGGAAAAAAAACAACTCCGGTGACACAGCAGTACGTATGGTATGCACACTAGGTCTTATGTGCTTCGCTCGCGGTTCTGTGCGGGTGTGGCTCTCATGGAGGGGACTCATGGAGGGTGTTCTTAAAGGAGTTGCGGTGCAGAAAAGGTAAGGCCAACCAATGACACCCTTTGGTGATAATCCTGTACAGACTCGCGTGCCCAAGGGGGTCATTCTATGATCGGGCATAATGGGCCGTTTGAGTGGCACTATCATTCGCAACATAAGGTGAACGCAGAGCTATTATCAAGCACCTGTTTCTGCAGCGTAGTTTCTACAGCATCGGACAATGCTGCCCGGTGTTTCATTTATCGAGCGCACCGCGTATATATATTACACTACTCTTTTAGCTCTCTTTTTCTCTCGAGTGGTGTCCCATGCAACACCCATACCTTCTTGGCATCCTCCGCTAGGTGCTTCTCCGCCGTCAGCTTCTCCCCTACCAGCGCCCAGTGGTCCATACCGTGCGCTTCCGCCTCTCCTTTGCCTGCCGGAGAGGGTGACAACAAAGGGCAACATCTTGGATTCAGTCAGTGGTTCCCAAAAAAAAAGACAATTAGGCCACTTGTTAAGCTGTCCTTTTTTGGGCTGTCCCTTTTCTCAAAAAGGGACAACTGACCAAGAACCACTTGTTAGGTGGTCTTTTTTTGCATTTTTGAACCTCCCGAAAAGGGACAGCGAAAAAAGATCGCCCCATCCTGTCCCTTTTTGGGCAACTTTGTGACAGGATGGGACGGTCCTTTTTTGTTGTCCTTTTTCTGTCACAACACATGACACTTGCCCACAAACTTGATTATCTCGACGGATGATCCCCGCAAACTCTAACGGTATTCGCACGAGTCGTGTCATGTGACTGGTACGGAGTCAGTAGCCTCGGCCATAGACGTAATGTTGTCATTCGGCTGACGAGGTGGACAACCCGATGTGTGCGGCAAACAAGCGGCAAACGAGCCGAAAGAGCCTGGACGCAGCAGCGGTGGGTCTTTTTGGTGCACAGTCAACTTTTGCGAACCCAACTTCTGGGCGACCTATAGCGTCCTGGTCTGTATCAATCACCACACAAGACGAATCAGACGCACAGCTCATGGCGGATACCTTTGTCATCGCTGTTGCTTCGGTGTGTGACGAGGGAGCATCGATGAACCAAAGTTGCAACACGGGGAAAAAGAACAAAAAATATGCTATGATGGAGATGGTTTCGTGGTGTCAAATTAAGAAAAAAAATATATATATGCTTGGAGACGCGGCGGGTCATTTTTCCCGCTTGTCCACCACTCTCGCGCTCACAACCTCTGACCGCCCGTCAGCCTCCTGGTCTGTATCAACCACCACACAAGACGGACCATACACATAGCTCGTGGCGGATACCTTTGTCATCGCTGCTGTTTCAGTGTGTGGCGAGGGAGCATCCATGAACCAAAGTTGCGGCATGGGCAAAAAAGAGCAAAAAAAGCTGGTTGTTGGCGCGGTGGGGTTTTTCAAGGTGCTGTTGACTCTCGCCACCTCAGTTGCCGTGCCTCCCACTGCCCTGTGGTCTCGATCAGCCGCCACACAAGGCGGACCAAGCACCCAGCTCGCGGGGGATAGCTTTACAGTTGCTGATGCTTCGCTCTGTGCGGAGATATCACCGAAAAACCAACTCGGTGCCAAGGTACTCATTGTGTGACGAACGGCCGTTGCACTTGTTGTTGCAGGGTTGCAGGGTCATTTTTTTTGGCGGATGAGCAAAAAGGATCGACCAGCACCGTAACAAGTGGGTCATCTTTTTGCTAGATTATTTTTTGGTTCGTCCCTTTTTGAGAAAAGGGACAGCCCAAAAAAGGACAGCTTAACAAGTGGCCTTAGGATTCAACAGCAGTAGCGGTACATAATCTACAGCATGTACCGCCGTAGTTCGTGTATGCGTACCACTCAAATTGCCGGCCAGAGAGAGCGGTACATCCCCTGTTTCAACCTTGGTACTACACAGAAAAAGAGAGAAGCCCACCCGGGGAAGAAAAAAACACAATCAGGTCCACCAGTAACAGCAGAGGCATGTCATCACTCGTGGGGAGGTTGATGCAATGGTGCAATCACGGGGAGAGGGGGAGGGATGCCCGCCGTATTCAGGTTGGGTGTGTGCGGTACAGCAGTAATGTAGTCGGGTGCCCTCTCATAGTGGGGGTACCATGTGCCAAGCGCTTTCACTCGCACTATAGCGGGCACCAGCACTATCCAATGTATTACCCATCTTGATTATGCCACCTGCATATGTCTGTACCAGCCAATTCCACTCGCACTGTACCGGACACCCGCACTATGTCAGTGCGAAGTGTAACAACCCGCACTCTTGTGTACTGCTGCGGCTGAATCGTGAATGTCACCTAGTTCCGCCGCATCTCGCTCTTGAACAGAGTGATGTTCCGGGTGGATCGAAATCCTCTACTACTGCTGTAAAAGGAACGAACGCCCCGGCAAGATTGTGTTGTCGTTACGTTTCCTTGGGGCCAGGCCATGTAAAGTGCCTGCTGTGAGTAAACAACGCGAGAGAGAAAGGAGGGAGAATCAACTCTCGGTTTCCCTATTGTTGCTGTGCACCTTCAGACCCCACGCTTTGCCTTCGTGACGCCCCTAAACTTGAACCCGGGGACAGGGCTGAAGTTGGAGTATTCATGGCGTCGTCGGTGCCCTTCGGAGGAGGTGCGCTCTGTGCTGGTGGGCAGTGGGCAGTCGTTGAGAGGAGTGCTGCCACAGCATCTCATCTGGACAGCAGTAGCGAGCGAAGTAGGGGACGATCCCGACCCGAGCCCCCTGATTTTACGGCCCCCCCGGATCAGCGAGCCAAGCGAGCAGCACGGCATGTATCATATATATATGTGAACCAACAACCAGCAGCCACGACACACGTGTCCCAGACGATAGATGGCGCATGCCGAGGAAAATATTGCAGATATAAAAGCGAGAGGCAATGCCTTATTCCGTGGTGGGGATTTCCAAGGTGCTGCGGACGCATTTCAGCATGCTGTAAACGCTGTCCGTCAGGTAAAAACCGTTGATGAAGCACAGATCCAAAGATCCAGCACACTTTCTACCAGTCCACCGACCGCGTATACACATCCATTTGTAATGACCTCCGCTCATATCCCCGCGAAGGAGGCAGGAGTCGCTTGTTTTCGTGTTGTGTGAATTAGAGTTAAAACTTTGAGAGACACAGCATGCTGTGGTCGAGTACCATATCGTATTGGTGGTGTAGTGCATCATGCGCCGCCGGTGTCTCGACGTGAGTTATTTCCACCACACAAAAAATGTTCTCGCCCAGAATTCCTGTCGTTGATGTTGCTTTGCTGCTGTTGCTGCTGTGTTCTCGACACAAAAAAACACTTCGGGCCTCTCTCGTCCCAATTCCGCGGTAACAAGCACTCCCATACGCAGGATTAGGACATGAAGGCATTCCTTTAGTCTACATTAGTCTCGTGACCTCTGTCGGTAACCCTAACGCCGCGTACCCTATTTATCTTCTGCCCCGCGCATTGCTCACAGATACCGTGCCCGAAGAGCGATGCCGCGGGTCCAGACCTAGAACTAGCTTGCCTTTGCAACCTTGCGTACGCTCAAATCAAGCTAGGCTCGATGAAAGACGCCGAAGAAGCTTGTTCTCGAGCACTCCACATCCAACCTTCCTGCGCCAAGGCGCTCTTTCGCCGCGGGCAGGCTCGGCTAGCCTTGGGCAGGGCGCTAGACGCCGCAACCGATTTCCGAGCGGTGATTGTCCTCGAACCTGGCAACGTCGAAGCCACCACAATGCTTCATCGCGCGCAGCAGAAGGAAGATAGTACTACGAACGCCAGCGGACGACCCCTTGCGGAAGAGGTGATACCGCCAGCCTCTCGTGTACAGGTCCCGGCGGAGGAGGTTTACCAGCAAACACGACGAAGAAGTCTCGACGAACCTAGTAACGCAGAGCTGCAATCGGCTACACCGGCGTCACCACAGCAGTCGGCTGTGGCAGGGGAGATGACTACCAACAACGAGGGATGCCTTGGTGAAGGCAACACTCCAAAAAGGCCACCGCCACCGGTAGCGATCTCGACAACAACACACAGCAGCAGTAGTAGCGGAGCACCACCCCCGCCGGAAAACAGCAGCAGCAGCAGGTGTGATGTGGTGAACGTTCAGGCTGAGGGAGAGCACCAGGAGAAAAGCGGAAAGAAAGCTGAACACAGCAGCGTCGAGGCCTCGTCAACTTCCTCTCCCACGAGCGCCCCATGCTTCTTGGTCTCCGGCTGGCTTACCTCGACAGAGCGTGAACAAGCCAGACAGCAGCAGCAGCAGCAGCAGCAGCAGCAGCAGCAAATCGACGAAGGCAAGCACGTCGGTATACATCACCCTCCACCAAACGCGACGATGAATACTAACCGTGCGAAGAATGTCGAGAAGTCTGCTGGCGGGGCAAAGGGGGGTGCCGTGAGCGTGTCGAGGCTCGTATCTCAGCTATCGGCGTCGCAGAAGGCTGCCCCAAACGAACGAGACCCATCAAGCGTCTCTAGCACCACCACAGCAGCCGCACTCGCGGAGTGGTCAGTCTTGCAGGCGGAGGAAAAGAAAAAGGTGAAGGAGTCGGTCCGACGACGGTCTCCTGGGGAGGGATTGCACCCTCAAGACAGGGGCAAGGAAAAGGCTGCGGCTACCACGACTGGTGTGAAGGGAATAGCCACGCATCAAAAGCGGAGAAAGGTACACGGGCCAATGAGGAAAAAGAGCGCCGCCAAGGAAAAGAAACAAGGGGGGGGGGCGGCGGAGGAGAGTCGGACCGCTGCATTGTGGGCGGCCCTTCAAGAAGAGGAAAACAAGGTTCGCGAGGCGTTTCGCGATAAACTTGGAATCGGGGACAAACCACCGACGAAGAACAAGGCACAAGAGAGAAAGAAGAAGGGTGCAACTGCTGTGTTTTTGCATGCAGAAGCAGCATGACAGTATAAACTGTCCCGTGGGCAGGCTTGAAGGCGAAACATAATCACAACGATATGTTCTACCGGTTGCTGCCGTGAGGTTAGCATCATGTGTGAGACAACATGTGTGAGACAACGCGGGTATTAAAAAAAAAACGCTTTGAAACACGTCCGGTACCGTGTGGCACACGCAGCCTGACCGGGGAAATTAGGCAGGAGTTTGTTGGGGGGGAAGGCCGGAATGGGAACGTCTGGACAAAATATTTGAGATGGGACCAACGAGGTGTCACTCGCCATTGCCGAAACATTGTCAAGCTTCCGTGTGAGGTCCCCGTTTTCCGTTGCATGCAGCGGGCGGACCCTTGGTGTGCGATCTCTATAAAACGGCTTACCGTGCGCTGGGCCCGGTTCAGAAGGCTGGCCTGGGGCGGCGTTCCCTTCGCCGTACCAGCTCCGTTGGAAGCCGGTTGGTCATCATGCTCTCGAATTGTTGGTATCCAATCTGAAGACAAAGTACGATTCGAATTGTTGGTATCTGCAGACAAAACGAGCACATCTAAACACAACGGCACCTTCCAGGGGGAAGCTATTGTGTTGCAGAAGGAATATTTCGCATGTTGACGTACACACATGGCAAGAGGTAACAAAGCCGGCCCACAACAGTCATTGCCACAACAGCCATTGTTCTCGTTGAGTGCGCATGAAAATGACATGCGCGTGCCACTTCACCAATTTCAACGTTGTTTTTGAAGCATCACGTCATGTCAACACCAGACGGCAAATCAGCCCCGCGGTGCCGCGCACGACGCTCGTGCCGGCAACGTTGGTACAAGTTTTTAAGCTCCAGTACCGTCGTGTAAACACCGCAGAAGAAACGTCTGTGGGGCGTGTCGGCTTGACGGATCGGGGTTTAATGAGCTAGATAGGAGGTGGGAAGACACACAGCCGTCGAACAGGACCTCGTGCCTACCCGTCCGCTTCCGTCCCAATCGGCTTCCGAGAACATCTCCGCGACCTTGACAGGCGGCATTTCGCTCTCGCTGAAAACTTCCGACAAGACCTGTTGATCGTACAGTACAATTCGTGCATGAGAAGCGACACCACCAATGCGTGAGACGCGCACCAACCCCGCATGTAAAACGCCATCGTTTTTGTGGGCACAACGGAAACGATGACTTAGCCCAGTCAACACGGGAGTGATTTTCTGTACAAGGTTAGTTGGGGCACTGATAGTCTCTCATGCCCATGATACACTGCTAGCGGGTGGAAGCCTGTGAAGAACACCAGAATCAGAGCGTACAAGCCACCCTCCGGGGAACTCATTCTCCCACCTCCTCCAGAACTCACAACCACTACTGGAGAAAATCTCGGTTCGTCATCAATCGGGTAGAACGAATTGAAAAACGACTTCGAAGTTGAGCAACCTCACTCCTTGTTTGCATGCTATCGGAACGAGAAGGAGCAGCAGCTCACGCGTCCTGCACCTGCCGCAGATCATCCCTTGTGATGAAACCCCGGCATCCTCTGTCAAAGGCTTTGAAGATCTGGCGCAATTCCTCCGCCGGATCGACCAGGGCGAGGCGACGACCCATGGACTCGACAAACATATCTCTAGACATCCCTGTCCGCGAGAAGCCAGCAGACGGAAAGCGTGCACGTGCCTCGCTAGTGTAACTTTCTCAGAATGACGTACCGGACACTTCGACGAAAGATGGTCAGCGAGGCAGCTTGAGGTGACGCCATGTCTAAGTGGTCCTACAGTGGATGTGTGCGGTATTTGTAGCACCTCTCGTGTGCTATCGCCCCTTCGAGAAGCTCGTTTTGCAACAGCCAAAAGAGCGCCACGAAAGCAGGGCGGCACAATGACACTGGCTGTACATGTTGTATGATTAACATACGAAGTGTCTGCGTCCAAAGATCCAGATGCACTGGAAAGCCACATCAGTTGTGCCCCCTAAATACCATTGCAAAGGACACGACAAAGTCACAATGTATGCCTCCAAAGATCCAGATGCAGTGGAAAGCCACATCGGTTGTGTCCCCTATATACCATTGCGAAGGACACGACAAAGTCACAATGTATCGCATTCTAAGAGATCTATTTAGATGACGGAGGTTCTCTAGCCACGACCTCGGCGAGGCACCGAGAAGTGCACATGCTATCGAACACTGTGAAAAACAGCGTGTTCGGCGTTTGGGCAAACGGAGGACAGGCTACCCTCGTTAGAAAGAGACCCAGGTCATGGCATCAGTATTCATCCATTACCAGGGGCCGGAAGTTTTCTTTTTTGAGCTTTAGCAAGGAAAACGGTCTCGGCCGAATTGTTGGAACGCTCCCCACTCCCTATCTCAGCAGGTTGATTTGAAAGAGTCATATCCAGAGCGGGGGTTCTTGCTGAACAACGGTCGGCAAGATGTGATCAAGACACTCCACTCAGATCGCATCTTGCCATACTCTTTGTGTGCTCCAGCGGTTACCTAGTCTCTATACATCCACAATACCATAAGTGCCGGATCCTTGGGACGGATCAGAGTCTTGGCACAAGGGTGCGGAAAGAAAGCAAGAGCCGAGCGATTCAACTCGATTATCGCACAGGTGTCGGGAGTCTTGACACAAGGGATCGGAGTGTTTACACCCGTGTGCGAAAAAGTCTCAGAGCGAAACGATAAAAACATAAAACGACCACACACAGAGCGCGAAGACTCCGATAAATACTTCGATACTTTTGGTATTGTAGTCCTACTGGAGAAAGGAAGGTTCCCATCGAGGATGAACGTCGCATGAACTCCACGGTTTCCACCTGCCATGCAATAACATGAGGACGTGTGGCCATTGCTGGCAAATCAACATGGTCTACGAGGAGTGTTGAGCTTGACGCGAAATCAAAGAATTTTAATTTTTACGCTGAACTTCTCTCTCGACAATCGGTATCTTGGTGTTTCGGTTACCTGGACATTGCGGATCCTCTGCCGTTGCCAAAGCTAGCATTTGTTGCACATCGAACTGCAGCGCACGCAAAGAGGGAATTTGCAAGCGACGAATGGCTCGTTCAGCGAAAGAGAGCCGTCCTCCTAACACATGCGCCATGCATTGATCGGCCGTCTTGCTCAGGCTGTGACCCTCCCCGGGACCGACATATTTGCAAGCACTCGCTCCTATCAAACCACCAACGAACGAGTCGCACATTTCAGTCTGAATCATACTACTATCTGTTCCGCGTCTTCGTCACTCCCGATCAGCAATAGATGCAGAGTAGATGTTAGCTCGCACCTTCGACGGGCGAAATCCCAGCAGAGCGGTCACCGCCACCTTGAGATCGTCCTTGTCCAGGTAGCCTGTGTTGGGAAATGGAAAGAAGGGTGTTGTAGGGAAAACAACGCTTTGGGGATCGGGGTTCTTGTTCCCATACGCAGAAGACTACTGAAGGCGCACATTAACAGTAAATCGTGTAGGCACAGCAGAATGCATCTGGAAGAGTGGGTTCCTGCAACGTAGGCACATACAGCACTGTAGATGTAGTATCTGCTACTACAGCAGTAGTAGATTACATCTCGACCTCAACTCGTGCGTACCATCGTTCGTTAATACCGTACATGTAGTTTACGCCGGGCATCCAGCGTCCGAACAAGCGACTGGAGCAGTACTGCTACAACTACAGAACTCGCCCGCGCTCAAGACTCCAGCAGTTAATAAGTTGAGCTTAAAAAAAAATTATCTAAGAACTTGGGCACCATTTGGTCATCTCTGGAAACCAGCCGTCCTCTGGCCTCCCGCATACTCTGCGGTTTACATCTGTGTGTGTTGGCCAACTAGTCTAAGCGCCAGTGTCACAATATCTCAACACCTTCTTCACACTAATTAATAGGAAGGACTCTCGTCCTCCAGGCTATCCTCTCGCACGTGTCATCACCACGACATCGACGACACAGCCTCTAAGCCACCGTGCCAGGGTATTACGCAATATCCATAATACTCTGACAAAAGCCGCTACCGACAAGTGCTGTAGGGCAACGACTCCGAACAAGACAACGGCTGTGGCGAGGGAAACATGGATGTGTAAACCTATGGGAAGATGGTAAGTACTGGATGGAGTCTACAATACGACCCTACTTCCAACTGTTACTGTATCTTGGAAAAAAATAGAAGTGCTTCTACTTCATATGATATCATCAAAGAGAGATGTGCCGGATCCTTGAACATTCTCCAAGGGACCCATCCTCAATTGGCACCCAGCCTTAGCAGTGGGCTGTACATAATAAACGGCATCTCAGCAGTACTTGTAAGAGTGTCATTCCTGTGTTGAAAGCCATAACTCACTCTTGTTGTCACTGAATTCGTTGAAGCAGTCGGAGATCTCTTGTAGCTTTGACTCTGTTATTCGGGACGCCATCTCCTCAGGGACAGGATATGGATACGTGGCGTGTCTCTCGCGTGTGCGGGCGAGGGCTGCTTGTCGGGTTTGTGCCCCCCCCCCCCGACAGTCCCGCGGGCGCTTCAAAAAAATGCCTCGTCACATTCTCCGAGAAAGAACAATCAAATACCCCCCCCAATGGCGTGTGCATACTGCCTGTAGCACAACGCACTAACAACGTCGGCGATGGCAGCAGTTGTTGGAAGACTCCGAGTCTCTTGTGGCAGAGGACTGTGGTGGGCACTACACGCAAGAAGACCGCCTAATCCCGCCCCTTCCTATATCTTCACAACAAGCCAACCAGGTTGCCTCCACGCGGGACATTTTTCACGTTTGAGTTCCGTAACTCGGCCACCGTCCGAGCACGAGCACACAGACCCTGCTGCCGCCAGAGAAGCAGCTGAGCAAGGTCTACGAATACTCAGGGAGCGCTCTGAATCTCTCGAGCAAGGTGGGCAGATAGGTATAGCTCCTTCTACTTAATGCACGTTGTGTAGCAACAACCAGGCGTGTGTAGCGCGCTTATGTTTCGTCTACACGTAAAAATAGCATCGTCCTCACTACTGCTGTATTTAGCTTCTCCTTCGCCCCCCCGCCCCAAAAGCTGTCTGCCCTCCACATGGTGATGCGCCCAGCAGTGCAATTACTTTACGCGCGATCTTTACGCTGTTTTACATTTGCGGAAGCGCTGATATTTTCCTCCCTGTGTCACCGTTTGCGTTGTATTCATTCTCTCGTCCATTTCCCACCCAACAGATGACGCGGTCGAAGCCTGGCGCTTGCTCCTCAAAGCGGCCTGCGCAGAGACGGTGCCACCAGACGTCTACTTCGCCCTGGGCAACCTCCACTACATCTGGGGAGAGCTACTCGAGTTCGGGAAGAGGGCGGAGCTGGGCGCAGAGGGCGCGGCAAAAGCAGTGGTCGCAGAGATCAAAGACTTGCGCAAACAAGCCATGAAGAAACGCCAACTCGCTCCTGGTTCTTTCGGGTCGAAGGGCCGCGCTGGGAAAAGCCCTACGAAGACCACGAGAATGAGCGACGTCAGCGCTCGCGGCAACGACGGGCGTGTACTCTCGGTTGGCGCTCGCGAGGCTGGAGGTGGACGGGGAACCACTCCGCCAGAAGTGGACTATCCAGAAGCGTGGGAGTGGTACCTCAAGGCGGCCTTGTCTGGGTGAGCACGCGTAGTCAAGATGTGCACGGGTGACCTTCCAGGTCACCTTCTCGCGTTTTTATGGAGTTTGCGAAGGCCAAGAAGGCTCTCTGTGGGGTGCGCTGCTTTCGGTTGGCGTCGGTTGCGCCGCTCAACCAGCATACATAGACGAAACAGGTGTCTCTGTGACCGAAAAATTGCAGGGAATCCGTGAGAGCCGTTGATTGTGGATTCACTTTCCGAGGGAAGGCGCACGGCTAAATGGATGGTGGACTGCTGTGTATCCTGCATGTCCACCCGAACTGTTCTTATGTGTTAATAACTGGTCATCACATTTGTTCTTGCTTGTACGCGCTTTAATGATGTTCTACACCCTCCTCTTCGCGTCGCGCCAAGGGATACGCGGGCGATGATGCAGCTGGGAGACATCGCGCTAGAGGCAAAAACAAAGTCTGCTGGCAACGCGCAGCATGCCGAGGAATGGTATCGGAAGGCCGCCGTGGGGAATCCGCCTCAACCGGATGCGTGCTTCCAAATGGCGAGGATCCATCATGAGGTGTGTTGTTTCTTTACAAACTAAAGAATTAGCCCGCTATCTGCAGCAAGTATTTCTCTTGCATGTAATATTCTGGTTTTATGCCGGCGCTGGTCCGCACTAAGTGTGGATCGACGAGCGCCATCGGTGCTCGAATGTTGGTGTGCGCTAGGGTGTGAATCGATTAGCGCAAATCGATCGCGTTTACTTGTGGAGATAGGTTGTTGCCCTCTACTGTGCCATTTGTTAAGCCGACAACGCGGTGGTGGCGGCGGCGGCGGTTTTCTTTCGCACCGCCATATCTTATTCGCAGGGCCGTGGGATAGCTCTCTTCATGATCTGGAGATGCGCTTTGTGTGTTAAAAGGGAAGTGCTTATGTGCACGACAAAATTCCCCATGTGCATTTGCTGTGTTATTCCGCGTTCGTCTTCGTTTCCCACCGCAAAGTTCAACACCGATCACATCTCTTCCCAAAGCCCGTCTCGACGAGAAGCAGTCGACGCGCTGTTTACGTTCTCGTTTTTCCTCGCTGCCCCCTTCGATGCGACCACCAGGGCATCGGCGCACCTTGCGACCCAACGCGCGCTCGAGAATTGTACGACGAGGCCCTTCAGGCGGGGTCTTCAGCGGCCGCGTACTTTTTGGGACAAAGGTTTCACGTCGGCGACGAGGATCTTGGGATTGCGCCCGACGGTGTTCGGGCACTGAAGTTCTTGCGTCAAGCCTCGGAAAAGGTATAGTTGACGGGTTGTGCTTTTCAAATCGACCAGTTTTGCACCACATGCGACGGACGGAAAGGATCGGAGTCAAACGTTCACGAGTCATGTCGCTATCGCGGCCGTGAATTTAGGCTTGAGTCAAACCCGGGTGGTTTGCCGCCGAGCACATGAGAAGAAGAGTGGTTGGCTCACCTTCACCCGATTTCAGCGGAGTGAAACCGCTCTCCCTTACAGCTGTACCTAGAACAGAATTACCTTTACCCCCTTCCCCTCCACTGTCTTGCGTTGTCGCCTCACGAAAGGGACATGCAGAGGCCACGTTTTATCTGGCACAAGCGCATCGCTCCGGCTGTCCAGAGATGGGCCTCTCCCAGGACCTCGGAGTGTTCGGCGAGCTGGTGCAGCAGGCGGCTGCCGCGGGCAGCGCGGACGCTTTGTTTGCGTTAGGGAGTGCATTTTTCCACGGAGAGGACGGGTTCGCCCGAGATCCCCGGGCGGCGTTCAGGTACGTGATGCATGCAGGGCTTATTCTCCACGAACGGGGCACGTTTCCCTCCCACCCAAAGCCTGTGTAACCCCGGCTGGTGCGTCCAGAATCGCCGAACGGTGTAGGGACCGACGTCCGGAATAAAATGGGGACGACAAAAAAAAACAGTTCGATCGAGGAAGTTTTTTCCGTCCACCGCACCGACGATGTCGAGACCGGCGTTGCACATTGCGCTGTTGCGTTGTTGCTGCTCTCCGGTGCTCGTTCGAACGCTATTCTGCAATTCTGCATGTGCTCTCAGCTTTCGTATTTCGCCGACTGTTGGCGCGCGTTCATAGGCGTGTTGAGTGCGGTGTGAAGCCCTCCACTTGCCCTCCGTCGTTTTTGTTTTGCTTGGTTATTGCAGGTGCTACTCTTCCGCTGCTGACGACGGCCACGCGGATGCCAGCTATTGCCTCGGGGTGATGCAGTACGCCATGGGCGATGCCGAGGAGGCTTTTCGCCGCTACCAGACCGCAGCCGAGGCTGGCAACGTGCTCGCATGGCGGAACCTGGCCGCGATGTACGCGCTGGGCGAGGGAGTGGCGCGCTCGGAGCAAATGGCCAAGAACATTCTCGCCACGTTCGGCGACGAAATCGAGCGGCGAGAGAAGGAGGAGAAGAGGGCAGCCAAAGACGGGGAGGAGAAGAGATAGCAGATTGGGTCCATGTCCACCAACCTTACGCGGAGGTCACTATACGGTGGGGGCAGAGGGGCTAGCATCTCTGGATGGGATTGACTTTTTCCATTCCCGCGGCAAGAAAGGAGTGGGCGCACATCGCGAAAAAGCAGAACGAGGAAGATTCAAGAGGTAGAAGATATACGTCTTGGGTCCAGGGATGCAACTACGTGCGCGCCGGTTTTCAATGGAAATATGCCTATAATGTTGACGCGTCCGCCCCTCCCCTATTCTCTTGAGGATTTTGAGGTCGCTGGAAGGCGCACCACTACTAGGAATGCTCTGAGCGATGGATCGGTTTTGGTCTACATGTAGTCAAGGCCACGATATTGGACGATCGTGAACACGAAAGTGCTATGACGACGTCGTCAGTGTTTTTGTACAGGAGTGCTGGGTCAAGAACACGATCGGTTGGTGCTTGGTTGCAGCCTTCCTTAGTTAATGCTCAACGCGCTCTTCCGACTTGACGGTTATACTCTACGCAGAGAAGAGCTGCTGTGGTAAGAAGCTGGCATGGCGGGGTGACATAGTTGACTATGGCGGGCAATTCTTTCTTGGCCGCAGTTTGAACTTATATATTTCGCGGTCGAAGCTTAAACTTAGCTGGCCGCGTGCCGATCGCAGATTGAAACCACAACGCAAAACATATGCAGGTCTTCCGATAAACGCCCCACACCTTCCCACACCTGGCATCTTTCTAGACCAGAGGCTTTTTGGTGAGACCAAACCCATATACCGCAAGAAAAACCATATTTACAGTCAGGTATAGACATCCGCCCACCATGTTCCAGTCCGCAGAACATGTACATACAAAACAAGAAGGCACGCAAACAGATCGCGTTTTCTCACCAAATCGCGAAAATCTCCACAACAAAACATCGTATGTATGCACACCACATTCGCCGTACTGCTTAGCAAACCTATTTGTGAAGGTTGTAGCCCGCGTGCCGGCCCGACTTCCTTCGAAACTGAAATACTCAAACTAATAAAGCCGTGGCATTTGCGTGATGCGTGTACGCGAGGCGAACTATCGAAGTCCCCAGCTAGAAAACACCCGACGGCGACATGAGATGTCCGCCACCTACGGTTCCACGCGAGGCCATCACCACAAACCCAACGAACACCTACGTTCGTCGACGGAATCTCGCTCCAGATATTGTACATACATAACCCGGTCAACAAACAACATCGCGAAGTGCATCTCGTGCCAAGCTGACTTCTCGTAAATCTCACTTCACGTTCCTCTATTGACGTCACGTTGTACATACCCTACTCAAGTTGTAAACGGTCATTTGTTGGGGGAAAACACACTCCACACCTCAGGCAGCAACTTAAACCGGTCTCCTGCACAGTAGGTCTCCGACGAAGACTCATACATACATGTGGAACAAGGTCTCGTGACACCCGAAGAAGTATTCGCCGGATAAATCCACGGCACGGCGAGCTGTACAAGGCATGTGTGGCAAACAGTAATAGCAGTTTTGCAGTATAAGCAAAGCCCGAAAACTTATGTACAGCCAAGGTGCCGTCCCACACATCGCATCAGGTTCCAAGTACAAAGGGAAACATCAATGGAATTCTCTCGCGGCAATACGCAGGAAAAGATGAAAGCGGCCACCACGTTTTTGCTCCTCGTCGTCGCCACAGCAGACGTGTCGCACAACTACAAACCCATACACGAGTATTGGCACTATTATAGATAATCATACACGTAACGCACAAAAACAAACATGACCACAGGTCACCCGCATGGCGACAGGGGCAACTTACCGGCGAGGGGCTCGAGCTCTGGCTGGCGGATTGAAACTTCGACCGAGGGTGGTACATATTTCCGCGAATAAAGTCACAGACAACACTTTTGTTCAGCGCGAGGGAACCGCCGGCCACAACCTAACGATGCCTTGCACCAGGTTCAGCAGCAGCTTCCGTCCCCCCTCTTCGATGCCGTCGTCTCGGAAGCCCACCTCCACGAGATCGTCCGCGCATGGAGAAGACGAAGAAGAGGACACTCGACTAGCCGCCCCGATGAGGCGCATCGCTTTGCTCGGGCCGTCACGCTCGTAGCAGATGACCGACGCAATGCTGTTTCGCCAAGATTTGGCGGGGGCCCCTGCCGCCGTCGCCGCCGTCGTCGCCGCCCGTTTTTTGGGCAGGCTTCGGAGCTGCGTTTCAGACCACTTCGATCCCAGCAGAAGCGCGCGGCTAGACCTTGCCCTCGTCTTGGGCGCCTCCGGGAGGAAGGCGGGCAATCGCAGGTCGCGGGCGAGTGCCGCCACGGACATTGCGGACATACTCGTCGAAGACAGGGCGAGGTACTCCAGCCGCTGTAGGTCTCGGAGGGACGCCGCGGCCGCGGCCGATATCGCCGTGCAGGTTAAGTCCAGCCACCTCAGGGACTGTCGGCACACGCCGGTCGTGATCGCGACCACAGCGGCGTCGCTGACCTGCTGTGCGACGTGGGGAGGGTGGGGAGAGAGCAGGAGGAAGCTAAGGCGGAGAGCAAGGGCGAAGGGTGTTGGGAGACACCAGCTGGCGTGTGTGTATACGTATTGCCAATACCCGACTCATGCTCCCGTCACTGCTGTGTTGTACGACGCATACATGCATACAGGTAGCTTTGTTTTCTTGCAGGCCACGAAACGCGTAGAAACCTTGGTGCTCTACATAACGGAAGACGCGCCCGTTGCCCAAACGACATACAGTACTCCAAGGAAAGCGACGGCGGGCAAGGTCGCCGCACGCCCCCCTCCCTACCCCGCACGCCCAGCCGCCGGAAGAACACTCAATTCCTCCTCTTTCTCCTACTTCTTCGTGAGAGGTAGCCGAAAAGCTGCAATATCGCTTCGTTCTTCACCATTCGACGTACGGTACGACAAGAGAACTTTGTATAAAACTCTCTCACGTTGCATCTCGCGAGGCAAAGCTGCTCGAGGGCAGGGAGGTACGCAATGTAGGCCACGCCACTTCCGGTTATCCCTTCCAGTCCCGCCAGGTTGAGCGTTGTCAGCTTCGTGCATCGGTGCGGCAAGTGGTAAGCAGTCTGCGGTACGAGTTGAGTCGAAACGACGGAGATAACAACCATCAACGCGGACCAAAGGAAGATGCTCATGCTGAGCTTCTTACAAAGTGACTCGCGTGCACGGGGTGAATAGTCCACTTTACCGACCTGCGTGAAGCGCGACCTACACAGCGGTACATGATGATTCCTTTCCCGTTGCACAGCAGGCAGTGCTGGTGTCATAAAAACAAAATCGGCAATTGTTGAGCAGGTCTTGCTGCAGCACTACAGCAACTTCCGAACAGCTGCGTAGGCAGGGAGGGGGGCAGCTGCGTGGTACGATTGGGGTACGGCATGTTTCGGCTCCTTCTGCACGGCGCATGCAACAGATGGATAGATGATGTTGAACAAACTTGCTCACTCCGACACGTTCTCAATCCGACGCTTGTGAAACCAAACAGCGGCACGGGTATGTAGCTTTACTATTCGCATAGTCTACACCTCATCAGTGATACCGCGGCACCCCGAAAGGGTGAGATCCTTCACACCAGGGCACTTGAGCAGCGTCGCGAGGAGAGCACCGTCCGTGATGAAACAACAGCTGCTGAGGTTAAGCTGAACCAGCGATGAGTCGCACCCGTTTGCCAGCTCCAGCAGCGCCGAGTCCCCCACGATCTGTCACAAGTAGACGGAAGACATGCGTGAAACGGAATCGCATTCCTACGCTTGCAGGCTGTAAAGGTCGTCTCCCGCTTTGTGGGCAGTCCTCAAAAGGAGCCGCAGCATATAGACTACGCACTACGTACTAGCCCCGTCGAGCGAAAAACGAATGCCGCAGCCCGTCGCCCCGATGTGTTTGCTACGCAGGTTATTGCGATGTACAGCACAGATAATTGAACGACTTCCTCCCAACATGTTATATATCTGCTTCCGGCGCTAAGTCCGAACGCCCGTCGCAACAGACTCCTAGACAGTAGTACACCTGGTACTCGTCACAGTATGTGTAGCATATACGACGTACATAGTCAACAACAGCCTCGTGATGGGACCCTGACCTTGGCTCTGCTGAAGTCGAGGGAGCTCACGTGCTGCCGCAATATTGGGGCGAGCGCTCGAAGGATTTCCATGTGGGCCATCCGCGAACCGGCCGAGGCAACGAAGTCGTACACAGTCTCGGCCAGCCCCAGGGGAAGGTCCTGAAGGTCGAAGGTCGCGAGGCCCTTGCCGAGGGACGACTCCAAGCTTCGGAGGCAAAGAATGCCCAGAGTTGGGATCTCAACCTCCCGTTCGCTTCCGCTTCTGACGCCGCTGCTTGCGGGACCAGTTCGGCGGTCGACGATGTTGACTCGTACCGCCGGTGAGTCGAAAGACCCGCCGCGTGCACGGCGGCGAGAAACCCACTCGTTAGACCTCACGAAATTCATCAACGTAGCGCCTTATCTGTTCGCAGCAGCCCCCGCCGGTTGGTCCGGGCGACGGGGGTGGGAGGGGGGAGGCGTAGAGAGATTCGTAAACCCTGTTTAGGCGGTGTGCTCTGAGTACAGCTGCTGCTGTTTTGGTTCAACTCTTGAACCTCTTCGGTCCTTTACATGTTGTAGTCTATGTGTAGTCTGCTACTTCAAAGACAAATAGAGACCATCCATCCTCACCAAGAGCAATGAATGGCACATATCATAGGACGTGTGGACAGAAGCAAGGCCAGAAGATCACTCACATTTCCACAACTTGCACTTCCGCCGGCTAGGCGCAAATGGATCTGAAATGGATGTGCTCGCAGCTCGCAGCAGCCCACGGGGAAATGTGAAATGCGGCGTAATTAATGAGGGTTTCTTATAACCAAACACGCAGGAAAGAGGGACGCGGGGACACTCAAACGTGCTTCGTCCTGTTTAGTCAGAGCTCAGCAGGTCTAGCGCTGGCATCATCAGAAGCAACCGCCTACCCTTAGAGCGTGTGCGCGCACCGTGGATCATAGAGGGGCTTGGTCAGGGGTTCTCTCTTTGTCTTCCCCGATCTGGGGCATTCATGGCATGCAGAAAATGCAAGATGGATGGTAGGGTTTGTTCGAAAGCACCGACCATCGGGATGTGTGCTTGTACCGTGGTGGATTGCCTTAGCTACCAGAGTGGCCCCCAACAAAAATGGTCCAAAAAGAGTCAATAATGGAACAGCAGCAGCAGCAGCAGCAGCAGTAGTCCTTTATTGTACAGATAGCGCCCGCAGTAGAAAAGTAGAGAAAAGGTTCAAAATAAATATGGAACATTAAGAAAGAAGGGCAATAAACAACTCAATCTCGGCCACAACAACATAAGAAACGTCCCAATAAGAAACATGACCGTGCGATACCCCAAGACAAAAGGAGCAAGGGGTAGACGCTGGGGGAGCGTGTCCAAAGAAACGTCCCACTGCTGCTGCTCCTGCCATGCTCCCACCCCCTACCTAGCTCATGTCATGTAAATTTTTGGTACAATGGGGTGGAGAATGGATATTTTCGCGGCGCCCCAAGCGCCCCACCACCGCGGGCTGCGCTACACACTGCTGCTGTTCTGCTGTTCTTCCACAACCCCCAATGTTCGCCACACCGAGGTGTGGGTTAATTGCTGCATGAAGGCTTGGTGTGTTGTTGTCTTCGCCATCAGAAATAAGAAAATATGAAAATAAGAGAATCAGCAGGATGCGACAGCCCAAAGGAATAAGAAATCAATTGTAAGAAATTGGCCGACTGCGGTTGGTCTTTCTGCCCAGGTAAGATATTGAGGCTCGACCCCATTTCGACGTTTCTTAACTGCGGGCGCTATCTGTATGCAAGCATGTCAACTTCAACTTTAATTTTACGATCGAGCGCCTTTCGGGGCCTTTCCAGTGCGCATGACGCATCACTTGGACGTATACAAGCCTTTTGTCACGATATATATTATTTCTCTCTCTTCTTCTCCACGAAGAAAAAGAGGATGAAAACAACTGATAGCTCACGCAAACATACAAACAAAGACGAACACGATCGCTCTCATCTACTGTGCAACAAAAAACTAAAAAAATGCCGAGTCAATAAATCAAGTGTAATGTATGTTACAGCTCAGAAAACGACGAGGTTCAATTGTTCGAAAAACACAACCCAAAAGTGCACCTCATTACACGCACTACTTGCCATCCGTCTACTGTAATTCTCCCCATGGCAACACCTCCTGCTTTCCCTCTGCTACGCGTTTCACCCACAGTTCAATATCATCATCTGATGTTGATACTATTACGACCACTAACTGCTGCTGCGCCGCCCGTCGCCACCCCCAAACAAGCCTCTACTCTCATGTCTTACCGTCAGTCCACAAAGTTGCGAAAGGCACCGGCCTAGGATCAAAATGCGTTGTTGATGGTGCCACCTCGATCGACAGCAACAGCAGCGCCCACCCACAACAACAACACCCGAGTAGGATCATCAACAACATCATCATCAGCAGCAACAGACAACCGCCCAAGGTTTGTACAAATAATGTAATATTGGAAGAATGCGGAAGAAGAGCAAAGAAGATGTTGCCGGCAGATACAACAATGAAAACATCTGTGGCGTTGAGCGCGCACAATCAACCACACAACTAACCACCCAAGAGACAAGAATAACCTATATTACTGGTCGATCGACTACCGGAATGCTAGAAACTGATGGCGCGGCGTAGAGCGCCTAGGGATATGAACGACGAAAAATCGAAGCCACAACTTGTACCACCAACATCGACAGGAGAGAATACAACGAATCAAATATGCGCATGAAGCGAGTCACAAAACTAGCATCTACCTGTCATACTGAAAGACTGGTAGCAGTATACACAGCGCACTACAACGACAAACCACCGCCCGTGACACAAACAAACGTACTCTTCTTCTCTATCGCTTTACTCGGGTTACCCACTTATGAGCATCGAACTGCCATCACCATCACACTGCCCCAAACACTCGAAACTGGTACATGCGATACCTGGAACAGTACACCAACCACCGCCGCGGTTCGATCTCCCACGAGCCCTATCTCTCATGAGCCCTCTTGCGGGGTAGGTAGGTCACTGTTACCTTTTCCTACACGAGACACCACCCGGTAGCCATAGCCCACGCTCAATCCATCTGAACGACTCCTCACGCCAAGCAAACCGCCAACGCTTCTTTGGCAGACATAGCCCACGCTCAATCCATCTGAACGACTCCTCACGCCAAGCAAACCGTCAACGCTTCTTTGGCAGACATAGCCCACGCTCAATCCATCTGAACGCCTCTTCACGCCAAGCAAATCTCCAACGCTCCCTAACGCGTGTACGACGACACGACTACAAGATGCAGCGGCACGTGCTCGCCCCCGAGCGCCGCCTACAAAGCACGATCCGACACCCGGCAGGAAAACAAGCACGGGGGCGGAAACTCACGTCTAAACCACCACCACCAGAAGTAAAAAAAGTATCACAGGAAGGCACAAGGGCAACGGCAACAGGAATTCGAGAGATGCTCGCCCTGTCTCGCCGCTTCTTTCACCAAAACGCCCCCAAGACTTCGCGCGGGGGACGCGTGATCGTGTGCCAGAGCCACACGTGTTTTTCTGCGAGCGCTCCGTGACTGGAGACAACACCGCCAGAGAGAGAAAAATATCGCCCAATCGGCCTACTCGTGCCAGCTTTGTCGATGACGTGCGAGCCAGACATATCCATCGTTCCTACGCATAACTAATAAGTGGTAAGGTGCAACAACTTCTGAGACTGCAAAACGACTACTAAAAATGTTTACTAAAAATGTAAGGTGACGTGTACACCGCAACTAATCGGCACTAAAAAAAACGCTATCCTAACCACAAAACCCATCCAATACACACCCAACATGCATCACATCCCCCCCCCCCCCCCCCCACCATGGTTTGGAAGCTTAGCTTGTTTGCACACCCGCACACGCGTACAAGAACTGCCAAGGAATCGAGAAGAGAGAGCCTTCACTCCATCACGTCGACGACATTCTCCTCGGCATCGAGAGAAAACGAACCTCGCAGCCAAAAACGCGGCAACAACCAAAATTCAGAAGCCGCCGCCGCTCTGCCAGACCAAGCCGCCGCTCAAACTCAAAAAGCTCACGAGGTACTTCCTTCGATGCCACCCTGACTCGCCGCCATCTAATGCCGCGGCTAGAGGCTTCAAGGTGCAGCATGCACTTCTGGGTGACACCTTATGGTCGCCATGTGTGCCGTTATCGCAGATACATCAGGTCACTGCCGGCCCACAGGCGTTTTTCACCATGTGCCGATATCGCTGATATACTTTGATCAGGTCACTCGCTGTCGGCCACGGGCATCGTCCAGCCCGCTCAGCAACGTCATCCGACAAAGCCGCCCCCGAACGACGCGCCGTAGGCCGCTTCCTCCTCGTCCTCCTGGCTCCTACCGGCGGCGGCAGTGTAGCGGGCGAAGGCCTGGCTGTTGCAGACACGCGGGAGAAGCTGGATGCGCTCGGAGGCTTCCATCCCCCACACGCCGAAGATGGTGTTGTAAATGTAGTCGTCGAGAACCTGGAGGGGATTATTTGGGTTGTGGCGCTAGCGTAAGGATCTGGGGGGGTGTCCTGGCGCGTTGGGATGGGAGCGGCCGGCCAAACCAACGTCTTCCTCGAAAGGATTGTTTTTCGCGGAACGTTGTGTTCACGGCCGTAAAAAGCAAGGAAAGATGAAAACCTAAAAAAGACAAGGAGATTGTAAAAAAAAAAGTACGAGGGCGAGCCAGGAGGGAGCAAAGGCTACTGCCGTGCTTGGCATCTGCAGAGATGGGCATCGAGAGCGTCTGGCGTGATGGTGTAGTGGGAACGGTGCGAGAAGGGAAACACCCACATGATGCGCTCGTCTTAGTTACGGCCAACAGAGAGGGGTGTGTGAGGGAGAACCGGAGGGTGACGGCATCTGTGTCACAACGGCTAAAACTAGGCCGAAATAGCTCTGGCAGAAAAAAGTACCAAAACGGGCAAAACCAACGCGAGACATCAGTTATACGTATGAAAAACTATCAGGAATCATACGGCACGACAAGAAAAAAAAAAAACGGTTGCGTGTACGACGTTGTAGCATGCAACAAGCCAAGCCCAACACGAAGACGCACAACCGCTGGGGCATCCACCGCAGTGCACGCAGCTGCAGCGCAAGCGGCATGCATAACCATGGCGCCATGTAAATTAGCTCACTCACCCTCCAATCCTCCACTGTGAAGTCCCTGAGATCCGTCCTTGCCACGGCAACGGTGCCAAGATGGTTGTGAGGCCCGCCCTGCCACTTTGGCGGAGCCAGGCCGTTGTGGGGCTCGATCGCCAACCTCGTAGCCTTTGCGTGCGGCACAACACGATGAGGTGGTACAGGCAAACCAATCGTTTCGGGCATGGGACGGGATCAACCGTCAAGAGCGGGAGAAATGCACACGTCAACCGGTACTGCAGCAGTGCATTGGAACAAGCTTGGTGATGGCAAGACAAAGAGGCCAAGAAGAGGCTAGTAGGGGTTTGACGACACTTCGGCACTGGCCACAAAAAATACGAAGCAGTATCATCGCACGAGTCCTTTGTTGAGGAAGAGTCACTCGAGAGCGGACATACACCCCGCGATTGACAGAAAATACACCCAAGAATTCAAGGCCGAGGTTCACTCGCCGTCTTTTGCCTCATATGCCCTCTCCAAACCCACCATTGTTGTATGATACTAGTGTAGACTTGCCATACAGTCGAATTTGGCACCACCGAGACCCCCGGGGCGAAGCAGCGAGTGCCTCCCGCCACCGTCACCGGCACACACATGCGTCTCGCCGGAACCAGCTCAGAATACCCCGGATCGGACCCACCCCGACTTTCCGCGACCAATGCAGCCAAACCAACCAAACAAGGAACTCGCCCGACTGGGAACAAGATGTGGGGCATGGAGCATGCAAGACAATTTTTTATTTTCTTGCCCCGCGTCTGCAACAACGTTATCTAGGGTACAGAATGCGTGGATCGACGAGTGTCTCTCTCACCACTTGGTTGCGGGGCTCCGGGATCTGCGAGTTCCCCCTCAGGCAAATGTGACACGCGCAGGGGGAGACCTTCTTGATGGCGAGGGGCACGCCGAGCATGTTCACCACGGGGCACAGCTCCCAGCCTTGAGCGCCTGGCCCCCCGGCCGTGGGCAGCTCCTCCAAGCTCATGATGGAATTGGAGACTTGCTGGTCGAAGATGCTCACGATGCCCACAGTTGAGCGTCTAGGGAGAGGCAAGGGGAGGGCGAACGAGAAGGGTGCAGACGGCATAAACGAGAACGGAGGAGGAGGAGGAGGGAGAATGAGAGACAGCTACTAGCAGGAGAGACAGCTGTACGGAACTACGGATCAACAGTGTTTTAGCTCGTGACGAGATTCGTAGGAAAAAGACAGACAAACTAAAAAAGCAGTTCCGCATTTCGAAGTAGGGATTTTCCGGAATCAGCGCAGCACACCCCCGTGCGAAGTTCATTGAAACCAAATATTGTACGAGTAATAGTGGAGATCCTCGTCATAAAGGGTACATGTAATCTCCCCAACGACTGTCGCGGAGGATTCCCTTTTCGCAGGGTCTCGTGCGAACTCAGGGCACCGTGCGCATCAAGCACAATTGTTTACCGTACTGCTTCGGCCGTTCGCCCACGCAGTGGATAGGGGTTCACTACACTTGTTTGGTCCACGGCCCAGAAGCTTGATATATTAAATTTAGAAGAAAGGCTGGCTGTGAGAAATAAAGCAGTGTTCGTCTCTGGTACCACCAGCTTTGACGCCAAAAGGCTCAGATCAAGCGACTGCTCGTTGTTCGGGACTTGTGTGCCGACATCTCATCCCTGGCATGTCGATATCTCGAAGCAGGCAGGCGCTACGGCCGACGAGTCTAAACCTTCGACGCTGTGTACACCACAGGCAGCGAGACGCGCGAGGGTGCCATCTACCCGAGCGCAGAATGTGGGTGCGTGTTTTTCGTCTTTTGCCAAAATGGTGGTTTCGAAACCTGATGATCGAGAGGAGGAAGCTTGCGAATGCTCACCGCCCGGCGCCTCACACGCAAGCATCCGAGGCAGAGCCGTCAAGCATGAAGAGTGCTGATGCGACGAAGGCATTCACGTGTACATCTACAGCAGTCATGCCAATCTGTGCATCTACAGCAGTGAACGGCGATTCCTTCGACGATGTTTTCTCTCCCGTTCTACAGTGTGAGCACGCAAACGTGCCGCAGGGATTGATTGTAGGTGTACCTCCTCGGGCTTGTGTCCCTCTCCTTGCTAGTAAGTGTGCGTGCGTGTTCTTTTGATCTTCTGATGGCTCTAGTCTTCGCTAGATTTTGGGATTAGCAACTGACACGAGTTTAATGTGAAGAAAACAACAACAACAACAACAGTTATGTACGTGACGTCGGCTGACACGTATTCCAACCATGAACTACATGGAAGGTGTGTACATTAGACATTAGACTAGAGCCAGAATGGACTGGACGAATACGCACACAATTTTGCTGCCCTGCTGGTGCGCTCAAGCTGGGCAAATCGGCGTTTCAACGCACAGATGATACATACCGCGCCATCCTGCCGAACGATCCCAGCTCTACGTTCTCCGGTGTGAGATTTTGCAGGGGTTTTTGTAAAGATTGAAAAAAATCTTGTCATACAACGGGTCGGTAGTCGAAAGACTTCCCGCTCTCCGCCTCCGCAGGTGGATTTTGGAAGATGAAGGTTCGTATCCAGAGCGGGGTTTCTTGCTGTCCACCAACAACGCTGCTCAGAGCGAGTCGAATCTTCCTAAACGATGGAGTGGATGGTCACGTCATCTCTTCCTAACCCCATTCACCCGGTCATCCATGGAAAGATTTACGAACTTCAAACACATGGATGGACAGAGAAATGCAAAAATCGTGCAAACACGTCCGGACTCTGCTGTGGTCTGTAGGTGATTTGATTGAGGGTCAGAGGAAACACGACAGGTATATACAGGCCATTGCCGTCAGTCTTCTTGCGAGGGCTCAACCACTTCTACAAGTAGAAGCAATATTGAAACAAGACGCGAGAGGCACGGAAGGAAGGCAGCCGATGTTCAACGAAATCCACCTATTGTAAATAATGAACCCTTGGGGTATGTCCGAAGGTTGACTTGCACCACATGGCATACAGCAGTTGTATGCATGCGTTGTACATAAAAAACAAGGTGCTTCCTGCGAGAAGGCTGTATTCTATGTGTCGAATTGCATCGTAAATCCTGCATAGACCTTTGCCAAGATCAGGAACTAACAGGTGAGTCGACATAGTGCTTTGCCGGTTCCAGACAGCAGTGATATTCGCAGCCGCAGCCGAAGTTTCTGCCGTGTCTACAAATATGATCGTGGGAATCACTCACCCCCGAAAAGTGACCTTATCTGTAGTAAGACGGTTTACCGTAGTAATGTGGCATTCAGTTGAACATTATTTTGATGTGGTGGGCGCCCTCATCCAACCAGAGGTTGTGGTGGATGAATAATACTGGCGGCTGTATGAAGCAAAGGGATACATCGGCAGCGGGACCAATCGAGAGGAACTACAGCAGTATATCCAGGATGTTGGGATGATGTGGGACGGACGTGGTTATAATTCATTGGGTTTTCCGGTACGGTTCCGTCACACCGGCGCAACAACTTAATATTCTACCACTCACTGCTGTGCAGCACGGAGGTACATACTACAGTGCTGGCGTTCGACCTTCGCAAGACTCACAAGACTGGCTATTGGCCCGTCTACATTCCTGTGTTTCTAGTGTTTGTTACAGCAGGAACGACCAGAAAATCTCCAATTGAAAAGTTCGGGGAGAAGTCTTTTTTCGTGTGGTAGTAGTATACGTCACCTTTGAATTGGAATGTTGGAATTGGTGGCGGACACGACGGTTGGTATGCATGGTTGCGAGGACCAAAAAAGAGAGAGAACAAAAAAAAAGAGGGAGACGTAATGGAGACATGACACAGGGGGTAGAGAACAGCGACACTCCTGGTTCTGACTGGGAACACTACTCGACTGTATCCCGCTTCCACTTTCATGTTCGCGGTTGCTTCGAAAAAACACGCATACAAATCACTGAAAGGCTATGCATATCCTTTCTGATACGCAATATTATAGATACATACGCATAGGCTCCTGTCAAGTTGCCCGTTGCACCACAGACACACGTGGGACAACAGATGTCCTTGAACATCAGAAAAAAAAAAGAAAAACGATCCAAAAATCTCGGGAAAAAAAGGTGTGTTCGGTGGACGAGAACATCGTCCGCGACACGCCGGAAGTTGCAAGTGTTGAGGGACCAAGAAGACACCATGAATTCTTTCCACAGGGTTGTTACGCCATCCCGCTCTCGATCCCACTCCTGCAGTACACCAACAGCGGTACCATGACTACAGCAGTTGGGCGGGGGGGGCACGAAGCCAGCTGCCATCTTGTCTACACATGTGATACGCAACACGAGCGGGCAGTGTGTGTGTCGTACCCTTGCAGTGCTGCTTCGCTGTCGGTCGCTTCTCGCTGCCGGGCGAGCTCTCGGCAGCGATCTTTGTGGCCCCCCACGATCCAGTCCCGGCGTTGGCACTCTCTCGAGCAGTACTTGGCAGTCCTGTGAGGGAAGGGTTGCATGCGGGCATGGCAAGACAGCAGTAGAGTTACAGGGCGGCCGTTTGTTTCACTGATCGACCAACCACACCTATGTACACCCATGTACAAAGGCAGAAGACCCACGGAACGTACTACTCACTTGCAGCTGGAGCATCTCTGTGAGGTAGGCTCCATGCAGCCTGGCGCTGCACAAGTATCCATCGGAGAGCTCGAGCTACGCGAGTGCTTGCCAAGGTTGAAGGGAGGCAAGCAGGCAAGTATGAGTGACGAGTGTGCCTAACGAGCGTGCCGGAAGAGCCGTTTCGCCACAGCTGTGTGTAGTCTTTTTTTTTTTTCAAATGGATCTTGGTTATCGTTATTTGCGCTACTCACCTGTTCGTTTTTTCCCTGCACACCTCCTCCTACAGCCCTCTCATCGTCCTCGATTTTCTCCCGACCTCCCTCACACTAAAGATGATGAGACGAAGGGGTGGAGGAGGAGGAGGAGGAGGAGGAGGAGGAGGAGGAGAGAGAATTGGAGGAGCGAGAGGAATTGCCGCAGGGACGGCGCGTTACAAGCTGCAGAGCGTGACCGTGTCGGGATTCAAGTCGTGGACAAGCACGGCCAGAGTCGTGTTTGGGCACGACGGCTTGTCCTGTGAGCACCTCTGTCGTGTACGTGTGTGATGACATCATCTCTTGCAGGCTACTCGATATCATCTAGCACCAGTTGCGGGGTGGCTTGCACCTACATACACCCTCGACACTTTGATCCTAATACAGCAGCGGCAGCCGTTCGCTCGTCGCTCATCATCGTTTTTCCACCATACTAACGGCGCGGCTTTTCTTTCTGAAATTGTCCCTGATTCCAGGGAGACCTCTGCCTGAGTGTACGCACACGGCCCGTTCTTCGTCTTCTCACGATTCAAATTTTAAACATTTCCTTCCGGCGTGTTTGAGCAACAATGCGCTGTTTGCTTTTTATGCGCATGTACAGCAGTGAAGTACTCCTCACTCATGTAGCATTACCTGCACCCGTGTGTGGGACCGATTGCAGAGAGGATGCGACCAAAGCTGCAATATCTTGTTCTTGACAATAAGGAACGACCTACAACATGTAGACATTTTATGTACCAGGCTCCTGTATCTATATCTTTTTGCTTGATTGTACGATATGCAAATGCTAAACTTGTAATCTGTCCTCTGCCGGAACCATTTATTCTTGACATACTACATGCTGATGGCCAGGCATCACCGGCCCGAATGGCTCCGGCAAATCGACACTGCTGAACGCTATCCTTTTTGGACTCGGGGAAAACGCCAACCAGCTCGGGGCTAAGCAGGTCCGAACAAGTTTGTAGGAGAGAGTCGCCCGACATCGACCAACCAGCAGCGAGTTTTCGCAAAAACTCACGATGTAAATCTTGATCTTGAACTGCTGCTGAGCAGGGCTTTCGTACAGCGTATGGCTGTGTAAGCCGTGTTTGAGTGCTCACTCGCCATACCGTGATGTGTATCGTGAATTCACCCCGGGGCGAAAAGGCCCCGGGCGTAGTCTTTCTTTTTTACTTCAAGTACACATGATATGCCAGGGCGGAAAAGAAGAGTCCCCCGGGAGCGTTGGTCCCATTCTTTTTACATGCAGTGTCGCCCCGGGTCGAAGGCGGCTTGGTCTCTTTCTTTTATTAGTGTTGTTTGACCTCCACTGGACATATGCGTGCGACGGCATTTTAAACCAGCAGCAGCAACAACAACGGCAGCAGCAGCAACAAAAGTCACGGGATTGCGTTTATTGGATATTCCCATAAAAATGCCCCGGGCCGGCCTCACAGCCGTCAGTACACAGCAGTGTGTACGTATCATGCGAAATCAGAACAGAGCGCACCCACCCCCTGGGCGTTCTCAACGGTAGAAAGAACACTTTCCTATCTATGGATGTAGAAATGAGGCTATTTTCTTTCTGCAATGAAAAACAGTGATGTCCCAGGAAAACAATGCCGGGACGTTTCAAAGATTTTTTGCATCTTCCCGGTGGACTGCTTTTTTTGGGGGGGGTGGGGGCGTTCTCTTCTCATATGAGGGGGGGGCGTTGTGGAATGATATTGCGCTGGTCTAGAGCATGTAGGAGCATCAAAAAGAAAGCCGGACGAAGCAAGAACGTGGGGCTTGGCCGAGCAATGTCTAGGTGTTGCATGTGGAGGAGGAATAGCCGCAGCAGTCACGCATTTGAGAGACTCGCACAAAGAGGTTTTAGGCAGCGTCATCCCAAGAACCGCTTATGATACGTGCAGAAGACCTCCGGACTCTGCCGTGATTTTTTCCCACCACGTTCTCGTGCGAACGAGAGCTGTTTAGCTGTAGAGAACAAAACATCTACCTAGTCTAGGTTACAGCTCCCGGAGGCAGCTGCGGCCATCCCGGTTGACAGGAGTTTTGGTTTCCCCACCACGCACAAGATGATCTACATACATGCGCATCCATTGAGGGAAAGTTAGAGAGGCCGATGGCCAGCCGCAAAATGTAGTCGGCCGGTGTATTACGTCTCATTGCACCGTGCAACCAGGTTGCCACCCAGGGGGGGGGCTCCTTGTCTTTTCTTCCATACGAAAGAAGAGTTATCCGCAGACCCCATACAAAGCACGTCATATACAAGGGGTAAACACAGACTTTAAAACATTTACATTTTCCATACGTCTCGTCATCCGTTACCAACAGCAGTGTTGAGCTGTTACCCAGTCTTCGAAAAGTGGTGGTAGTGTCCAATGACGGTACCCGCCCGCCCCCCGCCACCCGGGTGTCTCTGCTCTTTGGTTTAACGATTCCATTGTACGGCCCTATCACGACCGTTTCATCTTGTACCTTGCCAGAACGCGGAACTCGCGTCGGCGGCGCATGCCGAAGTGGAGCTCTTGTTCCGTGGCGTTTCGCGCGGCGTCAGCGATGCCAAGGTGAAAGATGATGGACGGCATTCAGTCGCGCCAACCCAGCCCGTGGCCGCTTTTTACTTGTGGTGACAACACGAACTAAATAGGCTTCTTTTAGGATGACGGTGAGTGGGAGTCGGAAACAAAAACACAGCCGCGAGGTGGAGGAGACAAGCTATACAACAACGACGGCAACGCCGACAACAGAAAGGGCAGCAGTAACCACAACATTAATCATGCTTCGTAGCTCGTACAAGACGTTAATAGCTTCGCGCTGCGAAGATGCGCCTACAGGAATAGAAAACCTGTACCACGTAGAGAATTGTTGTCTTCCTGATAGATGCGAGGAGGTTTGACGTATACAAGCTCGCACGAGTGTTTTTTCAGCGCCAAAGTAAGCGGAGGAGTGCGTGTAAACGCCTCCTGAGGTTGCTCGTACCCCACCCCCGCCGCTGCAGGTTTCGTCAGCCGTTTCTCGGGCCAACGGCCAGCGTACGTACGCCTTCAACGGACAGAGGCTGCCCAAGCACAGGCAAGACCTTGCTGTTCTCCCAGAACACTATTTACTGTAGTAACGAGTGTATCCGGTTGAAATGTCTCTTGTTTGAGCCCCCCCGCTGTCGAAGAGGAACGAATGGTGGTTTTCGGTATGGTACCACGGTTTTCCTTGTCCGCGTGCTTGTTGTCGCTTTATGGCAGAGGTTGGCGTAACAGGCGTCGACGGCGAGGGCGGGGAACCGTCACCTTGGCCTGCAAGTGTATGTAGCCCTTCGAGTTGTTAGGCCCGATACGGAAATAATGCATTTACGTGGGTGAGCTCGTTGTGTTGGTACCAAAGACAGCAGAAGAACACGCGCATCGTTCAGATCTGACAATCAGACCGTGTTTCGAAGGCACCACATATACAGGGCTCGCGGTGTTGGTGTAAATCAGTCAGTTTCCCTCAACGTTAGAGCGAGGAATATGTAGACATAATCAAGTACCAAAGAACGTAAGATTTGTTGCGCGTTTTGGGCCCTTTTGGTCCTGGCCGGGTTACAAGGAGGCATCTTTTAGGGGCTGATTCTGTCAGCGATGTTGGGGCAGAAAAAACTCCTCACCCACCTCTTCTCCAGCTTCGTTTTCGGGGTAGTGTACAACCAAACCTCCGTGCGACCGATCGGAGAAAAGTTGGCTGCGGCATTTTTGAACGATCGCTTGTGTTACGACCATATTTAGTGGGAGATGTGTAGTAGAAGCTACGTAATGCCACAGAGGGAGGGGGAAAAGCACGTAGGAGTTTCTCATACGCCTGACTGCAGTGCTTCGTCTCGAAAGAGTCTGTATCGCCACATGGCCAAGGCAAGCATAAAATGAGCCCCGCCCCGCTCGCCCATTACACCTGTACCCCCCGCCGGCTGTGTCTGCTTGCCTCTGTTGACCATCCCTCCTGCATTATCTTGTCCGCCCAGGTTCGATCACTTCCTCCGGACACGCCTCGGCATCGCTACGGGCAACCCTTTCTGGAGGGTCAGCCAGGACGGCATCCACCGCCTGGTACGTGTGCGTGGCTGCCTGATAAATCCCGCATGCGCCATCGAGATCATTCGGCCATCCTTGTTTAGCGCCCGTGCTTGACAACACAACACGCCAATCGCTGTGCGCTTCCCCCCTTCCAACCCAACCTGCCCAGCCCACAGAAAGGTAGGCACAGGTCGGCGGAAGGGAGCGGTGTCATTCTGCGACTTGTCTCGCGCGCGAGTCGTTTTCGTGCCACCCTTTTCGCAGTGGGTTGCAGGGAGCCATATGCATACGTATCTCTTCCAGTTTTGACGAAACGGCTGTTGTTTGGTTGTTGCCCGTCGTTGCTTCGTCGGCGAGGTCACATACAAGCATATGGTATCATATAATACAATACACGACACAACGGTAGGGTTTCTCCCCGATATTTTGTCGTTGACCCAGTAGAGAACTACAGGGGATGTGTTGTAAAATGTAAGTTACCTATACAGATGTTTTTGTACTTAGCACCAGCTGGCATCACTGGTATAAATCATCAGTGTATAGACTTTAAAAGACTCGAAATAAGTCCAGTACCCAGCCGGTTTCCCTTCACTCACTGAAAAGACTCCACCACATCCCGTTCGACTGTGGGTATATCTCGAATGGGTAGTCTTTCTGTGTGTGTTTTTATTATTCCTTATAATGTTTGACAGAGTTCGAACGGCAGAATCCGGAGAGAATACAAGACCACCCGAGTTGGAGCAATGGTGGTGTAAGATGATGGTTGGTATTCTCGTGGTGGTTCTAATACTCTGACAACAGCCTGATTTATGATAGGTGGATGGTGTGAGGCTCTAGACTCCCCCCCCCCCCAATTTCGAGTAGGCGATCTGGACTTGCCAGAACGGAGGAAGAGGTATGCCAGCCGTAGGAGAGAGGAAGAGGAGGATGGACACACATGTCCATGTGGCAAATCGGAGGAGAGTAGACCCCACATAGTTGGGGAGTGTGAGTTGTACAGGAAGGAAAGAGAGGATCTCGAGGAGGAAATGAGACAGAGAGGGTGTGACATGGACAAGTTTGGTAAATTAGACAACAGCGAAAAAACGATCGCGATAATTGGGGATAGATGGTGGGCACAAGAGGCCCTAGAGGACGGGGATAAGATGTGCAAGAAATTTTTATGTAGTTTGTGGCAGAAACGTAAAGAGCTCCCAAACTGTTGGTGGTGTCTCTAGTAGGGGTAGGAACGGTGCTCCGTCTCGAAAGGGACGCGTGGTTAATGGTCAAATGACTAAGGCAAGCAACAAATGAGTACGCCCACCCCCCCCCCCTTCCCTATCGATGGCGACGCAACCCGGTCGTGTTTGCATAGTCGTTCGTCGTGGCCCGCAGCCGTTGCAGGCGGCACTCGTCCGTGAGGTGCGGGGTGCGTGCCCTAACCCAGCAACTCTTGCCTTCTCGGGGTTATGGTGGGTGGGTGGCTAAACATCTAGCATGCCCCTCTTCCCTTTTGCCGACACCCACACGTGCTCCTTTTTTCTTTTTGGTTTTCCGCCCACTCTCTCCGCACGCGTGTCGCCATCGTTGCCACCACCGGCCACTCCCGGTACTCGTCTTAAACCGCTTCTCCTGCTGCACTGCTACACGTATCCGTGTAGCCTCCCCTCTCACTACCACCGCCATGAGTCATGGCATCTTCGTGTCTGCGCCATCATCACCAACGACTAACCCGCACGCGCCACCGCCTTTCATCGTGGCGGTGCCCTCATTAACCCCCCCCCCTCCTGGGTGTGGAAAAATGAGTATGCGCCAAGTAGATGGAGGGAAGGAGTGGTTGTGAACTTGTTTAAGAAAGGAGACAAGACTGACCCAGGAAACTACAGGGGTATCACACTGTTGAACACAGTAGGAAAAGTGTTCTGTAAGCTGCTGAACGATAGGATAGTGGGAGTATTGGAGAAGAAACGTAGCATTAGTGAGGGCCAGGCAGGTTTCCGACAGAAGAGGGGGTGCGTAGACCACGCATTCACGGTAGGGAGAATCATCCAAGGTAGAAAGAGGGCGGGCAAGCGGACGTACTGCTTCTTCCTGGACGTGAAAAAGGCATACGATACCGTATGGAGAAATGGGCTGTGGAAACAATTGTCCAAGTACGGGATCAAGGGGAAAATGTGGAGGGTGCTGAAGAAGATGACAGAGTGTACGAAAAGCGCGGTCATGCTAGACGGAGAACTGTCTAAATTCTTCGACATTGAGCAAGGGGTCCCACAAGGTTGCACGCTGTCCCCAACATTGTTCCAGGTGTTCATCAACGATCTGTTGGAAGTCGTAGAGGCAGTCCGGAAGGGAGTAAAAGTAGGGGACACGGAAACTTCGGTGTCAGGAATGCTGTTTGCGGATGACTTTGTTGGTATGTCGGACACCCCTGAGGGACTGCAACTGCAAATTGACGCGGCGAAGAAGTTTACTGATAAGTGGAGATTGTCTGCCAACGTTACGAAGAGTGCCGTCATGGTATGCAACGAGGGCAGGGAGGAACCAGTAGAACATAGATGGAAGTGGGGGATCGAGGAGATTGCAGTAGTCGACCAGTACACATACCTCGGAGTAGAGATCGCAAAAGATTGCTCGTGGAATGCACACATGTCCAAGGTAGCGGAAAAGGGCAAAGCACGAGCAGGGAAGCTGCACCCAATACTCGCAAACCGGCACCTTGATACACGCATCAAATTGACGGTTTTGAAGAGCGTAATCGTACCGCCGCTGGAGTACGCCGGAGAAGTATGGGAAGGAAATAAGAAGGTAGTGAAAGAACTCGAGGCGGCGCAGATGAAAGCAGCGAAAATCATCCTAGGATGCTCCAAGCGCACAAGTAATGCAGCAGTCAGGGCAGAATTGGGGATCCAATCCCTACGGTCGGGAAGAGACGTAAGGAAGCTGACATGGCAGTACCGCATGTGCGGGATGGGAGAGGAGAGGTTGCCGAGAATAGTATGGGAGGCGAAGTGGGCAAATAAAAAGAGGAGTAGACAACCCACGGAATGGGTCAAGGTTGTAGAGGACGTATGGAAGGGATTGGACATCGACGAAGATGAAACGCTGGAAACGGAGGGTCTACAGGGGTTCAAGAAGAAGATATCTGTTGCTTGTGCCGACAGAGAAGAACAGAATCTAAGGAAAGAATCCAAGGATAAGGAGGGTCTAGAAGTGTACGGAATGTTGAAAGAAGGAAATAGGGTTCAAGGATTACCTACATGGACCAATGGATGCAGGGACAAAGCTTAAGGTCAAATTCAGGACCGGGGACATAGGCCTTCGCGAACGTCGACGAAGACATAGGACGGTAGACGACGAAGACGACAAGTTCAAATGTCATTGCGGCTTCGAATGCGAAGACAGTGTTCATGTAGTCGCGGAATGTCCGTGGTACGAAAAGGAGAGGGAAGTGTACATGACTGAGCTGGGAAGAATACAAGGGACGTACAGGGAGATGTTTGAGGCATGGAATAGAGAGGAGAGGACGGTAGCGGTACTGGGGAGTAGGAAGTGGTTTGAAAAGGCGGGAAGTGACATCGGTAGGATAGACAGACTAGGGAAGACATTTTTGAGCCACCTTTGGCAAAGTAGGAAGGAACGATTGGCCATCGGTGATCGGTCCTGTGGGAACAATGCTCCGTCCTCTCGAGGACGCGTGGTCAATGGTCTAACCGCTAAGGCATGCAAAGCATGAGAGTACGCCCCCCCCCCCCCCCCCCCCCCCCCCCCCTCCCCCCCCCCCCCAAAAAAAAAAAAAAACCACCCCCCCCCCCCAAACCCCCAAAAACCCCCCCCCAAAACCCCCCCACCAAAACCCCCAACCCCCCCCCCCCCAAACCCCCAAAACCACCCCCCCCCCCAAAAAAAACCCCCCCCCAAAAACAAAACCACAAACAACAAAAACCCCCCCCCCAAAAACCCAAAAACCCAAACCCCAACCAAACCCCCCCCCCCCAAAAAACCCACCAACCCCCCCCCCCCCCAAAACAAACCAAAAAAAAAACCACCCCCCCCACCCCCAACCCAAAAAAAAAAACAAAAAACCCCCCCCCCCCAAACAAAAAAAAAAAAA